AAGAATACAGCAAGTGTGCACTTACATCCAGAGCAGTTCCTCCTGAGACAACTGGGGCCAGCTGAACAGCTTCTGCACCACAAGAGAGACCACACAGAAGAGGCTGGGGAACCACAAGAGCCCTCGGGCAGCTGAGGGAACTGTCCAGGACTGGAGGAACTGGTGAGCGCCACTGTTCACGTTCTCCCTGCACTGGGATAGCGGGCAGGAGTTCTATCCAGGTTCTCTGGCTGACCTGCAGGGTCACCTTAGCATGGCCCCAGCCACCCTTCCTGGAGCTAGATGCAGCAGGATCAGGAGAGTGCCATAACCGCACACATGGGGCCCCTCCACCTGGAGACTGATATTTAAACTTTAAAAAAGAACCAAAGAGGCACTCTCTCTCTCTCTCCCCCCAGAGTACACCTGTTCAAATCTGTTCAAGTATACTTCCCTAAGCTCCAAAGGCCCTTCTTTTGCCTCTGTAACTTGTTTCCTTAGCCCATTTCTTCTATAGTTCACTTTTACTACCTCAATAACTTTCTAAATAAACTTCCTCTTATAATTTGTAACAAAAATATCATTTGACCCAACATGGATGAATCTTGAGAGTATTATGCTAAATTAAATAAATCAGATGGTAAAAGACAAGAACTGTGTGATTTCACATGTATGTGAGATATAAAACCAAAAGCAACAAATGAACAAGTGAAACAAACACACTCATACAGACAACAGAATGGTGGTCACCAGAGGGAAGGGGTTGGGGGAGGGTGAAGAAGGTAAAGGGGTCAAGTACATGGTGACAGGAGACGAGGAGACTTCAGGCGGTGAGCACACAATAGAGTGCACAGATGTCATAAAGTTGTACACCTGAAATTTACATAATGTTTCTAACCAGTGCTATCCCAATAAACTTTATCTAAAAATTAAAATTATTCAATAAGGAACCAAATTTGATGATCAGCTCCAACCTTTAAAAATCTTATCTCAGTATAAATGAGTGAATAGTGTATTACCACACAGATCTAAGTTTTTAAGCCACCAAGTTATATTCTGATCTTTTTATTTAATGTTTATAAAACATAAAATATCTATAGCCTAATTTTTAAAAATGCTACTAAATATATTGATGCATTTTGTTTTATAATTCCTTTTAAAAGTATTTGTTGCTTCTACAGGAACTAAAATACGGTTGCTCTCCAATAAAGTACAATAGACAAGCTTCTTCAACAAAATAATAATCTTTATCATCAAATACGACTATCCACATGCTTTATAATAGTAAATATTTTCAAATATCTCAGATACTTGATTATTTATTATTGCTACCCAATAAATCTAGGCAATAAACATAATTATTTCTACACCCAATAATAAGCATTGATTCCCAAACCACAGGAGAAGAGAATACTTCTCCAGGAAGTTCATGTACACCTCGCAGTTGTCCACTCTTGGATTCCAAGATCCACAGTTTCCCATCCGTAGATGCTGCTGCCAGCAACGTTTCATTGCGATGCCTGTGGTTATGGAAAGCAAACGGTGTTGAATACACCCTTGAGGTAGTTTCAAATTTCCATTGGAGGTGACCTTTCATACTACAACAGTAGATAAAGCAATCGTGGGAACCAAAAAATATTTCTTGCTCTGATGTGGAGGGACATGGGGATGAAAAGATTGGTTCACTGGTAGAGAATTGCCAAACCTGAAGGATGAGAAAGGCAGAAATTCATCTCATGTCAACAATCTGTATATTAAAACTTTATGAAATTCTTAATAAAAACTTAAGAGATGTTGGCTATTGAATGATAACTACACACAGGAAAAATGGCTTTTTCTGAGAAGCAGCACCCTCAGATTAGACCTCTGTCCCAGTGGTAAAATCTAGCACAGAACAGACCAAGTATCCATATTACATAAGTTGTTGCTACGCATAATATGAAATAAAATTAATTTGAACACCAAAAGTTATTACTAGTATGTTCAGAGACACTGAGTTCAAAAATAAACCTGCATAGAGTTTTCATTGTATCTTATCAAAAACTGTATCTTATTGCAGTCTCCTAATGTAGGGAGAAGGAAGTAAATGGACTGAAAGGAAGAATTCATGTTCAATAATTTAAATTAAAGCTTCAAACAAGAAGCTGTGAGGTGTGTGCCTGACTTGTGGATATATACTGTTTGCTTATTTCAAAGCTACTACTAGGGACAAACCTGTTGGCCAGTATTTTGAAGAAAAGACGGAAGAAAAGGCACAAGTCTAAGGTAGTGTTTACAAATGCACAGTAACAGCAGCATAATAAAAAACAAACATAATAAAGAATGGGCATATTCATGAAATATGATTTATAATCTCAGTTCTGTCCCTGACCTGGTCAAAGTCACTTTAATCTTTCTATGGCTCATCCAAACAAATGGGAGTGATAACATTTGCCTCTTCTCACTTCTTAGGAAAATATTCAAACTACTTTGTAAATAGAAACATTATGTGAACAAAATAAAAGATTTCATCAAAAAGTGCCTGTCACACAGCAAAAGAAACTGCTAGCAATGAGAGGTGAATGTAGAAGGAAGAGCGCACAGAAGCCACTCTAGCCATCACTGGCCAACCGATGTTGGAGCTATTGTACTCTCAAGTCCACAAAGCAAGTCCACAAATCAAAACCACAGCTGCAGTTGTGCCACAAATGAGAGTCACCTGCAGGTACTTAAAGAAGTGGAGATATTGTTCCCAACAAAAGATCTAATATAACAGAGAAGGAGCCTACTCTGCCAGTCATGAAGTTGAAGATGGGATCTCCACACAATGGAATGTGGGTTACAGGACAGGGTTTTGGTTTTCATAGAAAAAGCAGGGGCTTCTTTAAATTTTCAAAACCTCAATAGTTATAATAAAATTGGTTTAAAACTAAGTTTTTAAAAATTGGGGGAGGGGGAATGGCACAAGTATAACAACACTCAGATAGAATCTTTTAAATCTATTGCACCCATTCAGAATTAAGAAACCCATGGCCTGGCCTGGCCAGAGTGGCTCAGTGGGTTGAGTATTGTCCCGTGCACTCAACGGCTGCCAGTCTGAATCCTGGTCGGGGCACGTATGGGAGGCAACTGCTCAATGTTTCTGTCTCACATGGATGTTTCTCTTTCTCTCTCTCAGCATGTCCTCAGGTGAGGATTAAAAAAAAAACAACCCACTGTCTGACAAAACAGCTAGTTTTCAACATGAGTTGAATAATAACATTTAAAACTTCAGTTGTCACCAACTACTATTCCTTTGAGAAAGAGATATAAAATAGAACTAGAAAAATTTACCTGTTCTCCTAAGTGAGTAAAGCAGAGCAAATTCCCATCTACACAGCCAATACAAACATACTGCAGGCAACACCGTGGAGAGGAGAAGAGGGGTTTCCCACAGGAACGTTTCCAAATTCTATTTCCAGTGGCCTGTCATGGGCGAAAAGCAATTCATAGCATTTCAATCATTCTAACCAACTACCCTGCATAAAACAAACTCATAAATCTCCCTGAGGCAAAGCTATAGAACATCAGAAAATGCTATAATGACATGCTGACATTATAAATGAAGCTGGTACACATATACACCCCTACAAATCAATCAGCACTATTTATGAGCTAAGATAACTTGCAATGAAACCAGGAAGGAAATAACTAGCACTTAATATTTATCCTCACACCATTCTAACTTCTAATTTGAATGAGAAACTTCTGTCAATTTAAAAAATAGATAAAAGACATGCACAGATCTTAGTTGACTTTTGTTATCTTTCTAGACTTCATGTCAGTCATTCTTAATAACTTCTGGTTCAGTGATATCTGGACTATACCTAACTGCAACTACCTCCGATTTTCAGAATTCAAAGTAAAAATAAAAGAATATTAAAGAAAAATAGATAATAAGATCAATACACATTATTTTATGCCTACAGGAT